ATGCTCACGGGTGCTCATGGATGTTCATGGATGCTCATGGGTGCTCATGGGTCCTCATGGATGTTCATGGGTGCTCATGGATGCTCATGGGTGCTCATGGATGCTCACGGGTGCTCATGGGTGCTCATGGATGTTCATAGATGCTCACAGGTGCTCATGGATGCTCATGGATGCTCACGGGTGCTCATGGATGCTCACGGGTGCTCACGGGTGCTCATGGATGTTCATGGGTGCTCATGGGTGCTCATGGATGCTCACGGGTGCTCATGGGTGCTCATGGATGCTCATGGGTGCTCATGGGTGTTCATGGATGCTCATGGATGCTCACAGGTGCTCATGGATGCTCATGGATGCTCACGGGTGCTCATGGATGCTCACGGGTGCTCATGGGTGCTCATGGATGCTCATGGGTGCTCACAGATGTTCATGGGTGCTCATGGGTGCTCATGGATGTTCATGGGTGCTCACGGGTGCTCATGGATGTTCATGGGTGCTCACGGGTGCTCACGGGTGCTCACGGGTGCTCATGGATGTTCATGGGTGCTCGTGGATGTTCATGGGTGCTCATGGGTGCTCATGGATGTTCATGGGTGCTCATGGGTGCTCATGGATGTTCATGGGTGCTCATGGGTGTTCATGGGTGCTCACGGGTGCTCATGGGTGATCATGGATGTTCATGGGTGCTCATGGGTGCTCATGGGTGCTCGTGGATGCTCATGGGTGCTCACGGGTGCTCATGGGTGCTCATGGATGTTCATGGGTGCTCACGGGTGCTCACGGGTGCTCATGGGTGCTCATGGATGTTCATGGGTGCTCATGGGTGCTCATGGGTGCTCATGATGCTCCGTTTCATTTCCATACCATTCTCATGTGTTAAAAATATTTTTCTTTTAATTCCCTCACCCCAATCATGTGAAAGTATGAAACACATTCTAAACTCAAGGGTCACAGCAAAGCAGTTGGTGCCTTGGATCTGACTCACAGCCTGTGGTTGGCAGACTTGTGCCTGCAACAGATTGGAGAGGAGAAGAGAAAAAACACGGTTTCCTTGTTTGATTTTTTTTTTTTTTTGAGACAGAGACAGGGTACCACTCTGTAGTCCAGGCTAAGCTTGAACTTAGTATACCTTAGAGGTAAATTCATTGGCTCCATCCCAATGGCGTAATAGCAATGGTAATAGTAGTAGTAGTAGTAATAGTAGTAATAGTAATAGTAGTGGTAATAGTAATAGTAGTAATAATAGTAATAGTAGTAGTAGTAATAGTAGTAGTAGTAGTAGTAGTAATAGTAGTGGTAGTAGTAATAGTAATAGTAGTAGTAATAGTAGTAATAATAGTAATAGTAGTAGTAGTAATAGTAGTAATAATAGCAATAGTAGTAGTAGTAATAGTAGTGGTAGTGGTAGTAATAGTAGTGGTAGTAGTAGTAGTAATACTAATAGTAATAGCAGCAGTAGTAGTGATAGTAATAGTAAGTTTCCAATAGAATTTTATGTAAATAAGAGATAAATATATTCCAAGTACAGAAGTTTTTTTTTAAAAAAAAAAAAAAGAAAAAAAATCTGTTTATAGTCAAAGAAGTAGGAACACTCGCCATCTCAGCTTACAGGCCACCTTCCCAGCTTTCTTTGCCCTGCAGAAGGCGTCTCTCTGCCCGTGTACACAAGCATCCCTTGAGCTCCTCCCACAGATCAGGAGGAAGTTCTCACAGCACACTTAGCATTCTGATAGGGAGTTCTTGAAAATGATTAAACTGTGTTTCCAAAAATAATTGCTCAACTTAAAAGCTAGGTTTCTGGGAGCTCAGAGGATAAACCTGAGTTCAATCTCCTGAACCCACAGAAGGGTGGAAGGAGAGAAAAGAGCCTCAACACTGTCCTCAGACCTCCACACCGTGTTGACATGACCACATGCACACGGACGTGCTTTTACGAGTGCACGCATGGACACTGGTAATTAGTAGTTTTCTTATTTCACTATTATATTAGGCTTTCTTGTCTTTTTGCGTTTGTTTGTTCTGAGACAGAATTTCTCTGTGTAGCCATGGCTCTCCTGGAACTGGCTCTGTAGCTCACAGAGATCCTCCTGCTGCTGCCTCCTGAGTGCTGGAATTAAAGGTGTGCCCCATTGCCATCTGGCCTTTCTCATCTACTTTCTTGTACATTTTCCTATTTTTTACTCAGCTCAGTTATAAGGTTGCCTGGTTCCTATAGAAACTCAGTATTAATTCAACTAGGTCAGGAATATTTACAGAACACCTAAAATTTCACAGACAGTGATATAACAAGGAAAGAGATGAAAATCCACCTTCTTAAACAGTATCCCATTTCTTCTTGTCTTTCCTCCCACAGATCAGGGATTTGCTGTCTAGAACCACAGCTCCCGGAAGGTTAAGAGTCAGGGAGGATCCACAGCTGGGTTTTTTTGTGGAAGGTCTGAAGTGGGCGCCTTGTGAGGATTATGCACAAATTGAGAAGCTGGTGGAGCAAGGATCAAAAATCAGGATGACAGCATCCACCAACATGAACGCCAGCAGCAGCCGATCCCACTTGCTCATTGCCATCCAGGTCAAGCAGGTGGGATCCTCCTCTGCCTCAGGCTCCTGGGGGCAGAGTGGGAGTGGTGCAGTGAGTCCTTCCAGAGTGGACCAGTGGGCTAAGGTAACTGCTTCCAACCACAGAACATGAAAAGAGGTGAGGGTCTTGCTCTCCCTGTCTTCGCCTCAATTAGGCAGTCCTGTTACTTACGGTGAAGCAGTCTTACACTTAACGTCTTCAGAATGGCACAGGACAAGGTTGGCTGTTTTTCCTCTAGTAAATTCTACACTTTGAGGAATGACTTTTGAGTCTGAGTTGGTAAGAGCCATAAGCTCCTGAGATCTAAGCGGAGAGTTTAGGTTAGCAGGTCACCAGCCTGAGGACCAGACATGAGCCAAGGGCATAGCCAGCTGGTGAAGCACCTTCCTGAGACTCTGACCAAGATTAATACTTGGAAATCCCTGTAACACCCACTAACTAAAGCCTCTGGTAAACAAGACAGGATTTATCTTTTCCAATCTCCTTGATGGGTGTCAGGACATCTCTAAGTAACATCCCAAAGCTCTTCTAGAGGCCATTGCCCCTGCATCCTGGGCGAATGCTGAACCAGCAATGGAGGAAACCATCATGTTCACACCAGGAACAGAGGGCAGATAAGTCTGACAGTTACCACTGCTATGGTTTTGAGGAGATCATCTTCCCAACCCTCAGTTTCCTCTTCTGTAAAATGGGCTGATAGCTCTGTCCTCAGGCATGTTGGGAGGCTTAAATGAAGTACAGCATTCTAAAGAACAAGATGGCTCATCAGTAAAGCACTTGCTGTGTAAGCAGGAGGGCCAGGATTCAAGTCTCTAGTTCCCACACGAAGAGCAAGGCATGCTCATATAATCATAACACTGAGGAAGCAGAGACAGGAAGATCACAGAGGCTTAATTATTTGTGTAAGTGTATGTGTGTGTATGGAGCAGTTGAGGAAGACATCTGATAGAGCTTACATCTTCTGCAAGGACACTCATTACTCATGCATGTGCACCTGTACATGCACACACATACAAGCACACATGCAAACATGCACACACAAATATGCACATATACAGAAACACAAGAGAAAGGTGGGGAGAGGAAAAGAGAGCGAGGGAGAAGGGGAGAATTTTGTGCATTTGAAGTGCCACCCTGGATGAATTTTACCATGTTAGTAAAATGTGCATACTGTGTATGTAGTTCTCCGTTATTTGAGGTTTTTATTCTAGGGGAAAGGGGGATCGCTGTGATTTGGAGGCTAGCCTGGTTTACACAGTAAGTTCCAGGACAGCCAGGGCTACACTGAGACACCCTGTCTCAAAAATCTAAGCCAAACCAAGTCAACAACAAAACGAAATGCCTACCCAATGTCTAATATGTCTCTGCAAAAGAGCTTTGCAGAACTGGAGAGAGGTGGCAGGACACTTAGACCTGGGAGGCAACCCTGTCCCTGTCAACTGTCTCTGCACAGGGACAGACCTTCAGTGCCAACTGTTATTGGGCTATTATTTCTGGAGTCTGAGACATCACCTTGAAGAACTGTGTAAGCTTGTGGACCAGTGTGTCTCCTGGGCATCAACCTAATAGCCTGAGGCACCGTGTCTCTACAGGTTTTCCTGGACATAGCTCTCACCAAACAATCCAGCATCAACATGGTGGACTTGGCAGGAAGCGAGAGGCAGAGATCATCAGGATCTGAAGGAGACCGTCTAAGGGAAGGATCAAGGGTCAATTTAAGCCTAACCAGTTTAGGGAACGTCATCAGGTATGTGGCTGGCATATGGATATTCATAGAAGCTACTCTTTTATTGTTCTGAAGAGACACCATGACCATAGCAACTTATAAAGGAAATAGTTTATTGGGCACTTATAGTTTCAGAGGATGAATCCATGACCACCACGGTAGGGAACATGGCAGCGGGCAGACAGGCACAGCACTGGGGCAGCAGCTGAGAGCTCATGTCTTCATCTGGAAGCAGAAGGTGGGAAGAGCTAACTGAAATGGTGTGGGCTTTTGAAACCTCAAAGCTAGCCTCCGGCAAAACATCTCCTCCAAGACCACACCTCCTCCAAGACCACACCTCCTCCAAGACCACACCTCCTCCAAGACCACACCTTCCAATCCTTCCCAGACAGTTCCACCAAATGGGGACCAAGCATTTAAGCATATGAGCTATGGGGACGATACTCATTCAAACCAACACAACAGGACACTTAACAATGACATAAAAGAGTGGAGGGTGATGTTCCATAGTGAGCCCAAGACCTGGATCCAATCCCCAGCTCCAAAACCTACTTAGGCAAAAGAAATGTTATATTAATATTAATCTTTATTTCGCAATTCATTGGCATCATCAACTCATGCCCTGCCCTCTGTATATTTAAAACTCATTAATGCTTAACAAAATAACACTAATAAAATATTCACCTGACCAACACAAGAACTAGTTGACTCAGAATTCTTTTCCCATCTCTCCTCTTAGAGGTTCTACCCCTCTACCCCTCCGCCTACACTGTTTCTCCTTTCTTACTTTCTTCTGTTTTTTTCCCTTTCTTTCTTTCTTTCTTTCTTTTTTTCCTTTTTGCCAGGGAGGTCTTTTTTATGTTTATGGGCACACCTGTGAGTGGATATGTGTGCACATGTGTGCGCCTACATGCAGAGACCAGAGACGCAGGGCATCTTCCTCAACTCTCTCCACTGTATTTACTGAGGCGGGGATTCTCTTTTTCTTTTTTTTTCTTTTTCTTTCTTTTTTTTTTTTTTCTGGTTTTTTGAGACAGGGTTTCTCTGTGTAGCCCTGGCTGTCCTGGAACTCACTCTGTAGACCAGGCTGGCCTCAAACCCAGAAATCCGCCTGCCTCTGCCTCCCAAGTGCTGGGATTAAAGGCGTGCACCACCACCGCCTGGCATTGAGGCGGGGATTCTCAATGAAGATGGACCTGGCTAAGCAGGTTCCCCAGGGTTCCGCGGGGAGATTCCTGGTCTCCACCCCACAAGCTCTGTGGCGCTGCCACACTGAACTCCACTGAACTCCGCTCTCCACACTTCATCCAGGGAGCATCTTCTAGTCCTCTCCTATCTTGTTTTATCACATGAATATTAATGCGTATATATGGGGGCACATTTTTCTAAAACTTTTTTATTGATTCTTTGTGAATTTTACATCATTCAGCCCAATCCCACTCATCTCCCTGTCCCTTCGTATCCATCCGAAAACAAAACAGAAATCTCACTGTGGAAGCATTGGTGTGTCACAGTGTCCCACAGCAAACCCTTTTGTCCACGCATCTTTACTTGCAAATATCCATAGCAGTGAGTCGTGGTCTGGTTCGAGGCCTCTGGCTTCTGCTGCTCCATCAATACTGGGTCCTCACCCAGACTCTTGGTTATCCTGTTGTTGCCCTGTCTCTTGGAGGTCCTGCAGCTTTGGATCTGCAGGACAGGCCTTCCATACAGTTCAGAGTTCATAGATGGGTTAGATAGGTGTTGGGGTGGACCAGCTCAAAGCCCTGGTTCTGGGTATGGGTGTTAGCCGAGCTGGCCAGCCGGCCAGCTTTTCCACAGCCACACCACCAGGGTGAGCTCTCCAGCACTGCCTGGCTAACTCACCCAGGGCTGCAGCCAGCGAGGGGCAGGGCCAGCTCTCCTGCTTCCACACCTTTGAGGCAAGCTCATCCTCCCTATGCCACCAGGACCAGCTCTACTGTGCTGCAGGCAAGGTGCAGGGCCTGGTCCTGATCTTCTGAGTGCTAGTGGCATGACTTCATGTAGAAAAATAAGGTGCTATAATTTCTTTTTAAAAATATCTCATTAATTAAGGTATAAATCACAGTAACATACATAAAATTTTGGTTTTGTTTTTATTTTTGAAGTATATAAATCTTAAATTCTCTGTTTAATGAATTAATATAAACATGTTCACACGCACAATTTAATTGGCAACCATGTCAAAATATAGAAGACTTTCAGAAATGACGACTCTCCATCACAACCTTCTACACTGGGACACACTCCTCCCCACTGGAGCACACAAATACACACCCCCTCCCTGTTGTCACATCACCAAAACAAGCTGGCCCTTACTATCAGATTAACTTTTGCCTAGTAGTCTTGAGTTTTATAATTTAAAAAAATTTGAATTATGTGTATGTCTGTGTTTATGAGTGCGGGTATGTGCATATGAGTGCAGGTGCCTATGGCGGCCAGAAGAGGGCACCAGATGAGGGAGCTGGAGTTACAGGCAGTTGTGAGCTACTTAAATGGTTCGAACTGGAGTTCTCTGCATGAGCAGTACATGCTCTTCAGCTGGTGCCTTCTCTGCAGTCGCTGTCTTTTGTGTAAATGAAGCTGTGTACACAAGGTTTCTGGCTTACATCTTTTCTTGCTTGGGCACTCTTGCACAAGTATCTGCTATTCTGTGTTATTGTCATTGTACAGGGTGTATTGGCTTCTCCTGACACGAAGCTGCGTCAGGGAGGAAGGATTTAGCTTTGCTTATGGTTTTTGAATGAGGAAAAGCATGGTAGCTCCTTGGAGGGATAATGAGACGTGGCTCACCCCCACGGGGCGGGGTTAGGGGATGCTTATCCATGGAGCAGCTTATTCACAGGGTGGCCTTTAAACCACTGGTTCCCAGCAGGGATGTGTGAGCTTACCCCTGGGGAGGCGGTTTCTTTCTTATCCCTCCCACTGATTGTTCAATGTTTTCGACTTCACTCAGCGCTCTGGCAGACTTGGCCATGGGGAAGAAAGTTCTGCATATCCCCTACAGGGATTCTGTTCTGACCAAACTGCTCCAGTCAGCTCTGGGTGGAAACAGCCGGACAACACTGGTAAGACCATTCTTAGAACATGTGATGCTGCTCAGCTGTTAGTGGTCTATGGCAGAAATTACTCTCAACATACCCAGGACTTATGGCTTGACCCTGCCCTCCATGCCTGTCCACTGCTGTGTGTGACAAGGCATCCACAATATTAAATAGTTTATTTATTCTTTGCTGCAGCTTTTTGTAGGGTACATGGAATATATATTGCTTTCCATGTTGTCTCTGTTTTGTGATGGGGATGGAAACCAGGGCCTACCACAGGCTAGACGAGTGTTCTGTCACTGAGCCATGCCTCTAGCCTGGAATATTATATATAATTACTTTTGCTAAAAGAACAAAATTAATAATCATTCCTGCTGGGTGGTGGTGCACGCCTTTAATCTTGGTACTCAGGAGGCAGAAGCAGGCAGATCTCTGTGCATCCCAGACCAGCTTGATCTACAGAGTGAGTTTCAGGACAGCCAGGGCTACACAGAAAAACCCTGTCTCAAAAACAACAAAAAAAAAAAAGGAAGAAAGACAGAGAGAGAGAGAGAGAGAGAGAGAGAGAGAGGAAGAAGAAGAAGAAGAAGAAGAAGAAGAAGAAGAAGAAGAAGAAGAAAAGAGAAGAGAAAAAAGAAAGAAAAAGAAAAAAACCCAAAAAGCAAAACAAACAAAGCAAAAACATTAAAAAATTAATACTAATACTACCAGCATTCTGTGCTGAGGCAGGCTATCGCCAGCCACATGTACAACACTGAGAGTCAGCTATGTGGTGTAACGTGCTAAACCAGGGCCCTCTACTCTCCAGCTGTAGATTGGGACAAAACCGGGTAAATGCTGTCTCTCCTGGAAACTCACTGCAAAACACACCCTCGTTTTTTATAATGAACTACTGCCTAAATGTGATAGATTTTCTCCAGAAGAAATAAGTCAATTCAGCTGAATTAAAAGTGAAAAAGGAAGGTTTATTTGGGGATGGGCTCCAGGGAGTTCACCAATCTCTGGGGATGAAACCAGAGGAAGTCACAGGGAGACTATGGCGTGGGAGCATCCTATGGGGGGGGGGCGGGTGGCTGTGACTCCAGGTGGAGGGGTTGGGACACCTGTCAGGAATGTGGGACTGGGCCTTTTGAGGATCTTTTCTGCTTGGAAGCTTTCTAAGTGGCTGAGGTTGGAGAAAGAGGGAGGAAATGGAATCTGCTGAACTATGGCAAGGGTGGGGATGTGGAGGGTGGGGGGTAGGAAGGGGTAAGGTGTGGGGAGTAGGGGTTTGAGAGTGGGAGGTAAGCCCGGGACTCCAAACAAAATACTTCATCTTACACTCTTTCTGGGTGTCAGTTATTTGTGGATCTCCATGATACATTCACCAAGAACTTGGAATAAAACATCATTCCTGCTGGGGGGTGGTGGCGCATGGCTTTTATCTCAGCACTCAGGAGGCAGAGACAGGCAGATCTTTATGAGTCCCAGGCCAGCTTGATCTACAGAGTGAGTTTCAGGACAGCCAGGGATACACAGAGAAACCCTGTCTCAAAACAAAAAAAACAAACAAAAGAAACACATAAGAAACAAAAAGTAAAAACAAAACCGAAACAAAGCAAAAACATAAACAAACAAAAACAAAAGCCACTCTCTGTGCTGGGGATGGAGAGCTGGGCACAGCATCAATTTGTATACAGTTCTAGGTTTTATTTCCAGTACCAGGAAAACAGAGACAAAACTAATGCAACCAAGACACCTCTTGCACTGCAGACTACAGATTAAAACCCAGCAATGTGACAGGAGTACAGTCCCGAGAGACACTGAGGCCAGGACACCTGTGCAGATGATCGACACTGATGTAGGCAGATCTGAGGGCTTTGCTTGTTTTAAATCAGGGTCTCACTATACAGCTTAGGCTGACCTCAAAATCCCATTTCTCCTGTGTAGTACAACTATTATAAATTATAATAGACTCAGACTGTGGTTATTTTATTTGGCTTTGACAATTGCTGGGGGGTAACTACTTTTTTAGCTGCTGGCCTGGCTACTTCCCCAGTGATGTACTCAATACTTGCTGTCTCTCCTGGCCATGTGCTCATGGTCCATCTCTCATGGCGGCCTCCTCTCTCCTACTTCCTCCTTCTCTCCTCTGCAACCCATAACCAAGTAGCTCAAAACCTGCCTACCTCTAATCCTTCCAGTAACTGGCTGCAATCATTTTTATTTAACCAATGGTTTTAAATTAAGGAATAAGGTTTTATACAACGAAAGCTGGTAAGGATGGGAAGTCACTCATAGGCTAATATACTGGGTATAGACTTAGCATTGCAATACATAGCAACAGAGAAAATCTCAACAATTCTCCTTTTTTGTCTAAATAAAAAGGCTCTTTTTCTTATAAGAAATAGCATACAATAGGAAGAATTATGAAAATTATCAGGAAAGAGTTATATTTAAGAGTTATATAGTTCAGTCTATTCTTGTTTGGTAACTCAGGAGAAAATATTCTATTATCTATCCTATCCTGGTGAGTTCATAGTTCTGAATCTAAATCAATTTCTATCCTAACATGTATTATCATCCTAAAAATATCTTCTTAAGCCTAGAACATATTCTTCAGTCCTAAAGAACTTAAGCTTATAATGAGACTATGACTATCTAGTCTTTAATTCCATCAGAAACCTGAGAAGGAAACAAAGATTACCTGAGTATGTAGGAAACACAAGGACGCAGCTTCCAAAAATTACAGAAATGTCAGAGACAGCTGACTGCCTGGACAGTCCCCAGTATTCTCTACAGTGTTGGAGCCTCTGTCTTCAGCCTTCTGGCCCAGAGCATCTGACAGGCCTTGTGTGGAGCAGGAGTTGTGAAGGACTTGCTTACCCCATATTGGCAGAGCTTGGCAGTTGACTTTCCCTGCTTCCGTTTGTCCTTTCTGGGCAGCATTTTCTGTTTGTCCTTTCTGGACGGATTTGTCTGTAGTTGAAAGAAGCATGGTTATTTTCTTTGCCCAGTGGCTAGCTTACTACAATTGAAGCAACTCCATATGGAGGCCTTTCGATGCTCATCCAGAATGCTTCTTCCAGAATGGGGGTACTGCCAGGAGTTGACATGTCTCAATATAAAAAACAATCTTAAATTAATAAAATTATGTTTAGGTGCCATAATCTGAAGAGGAAACATGATTTCTTTGGAAAGTCAGTTGCGTTGGATGGTGTTTTGCTGGGGCAGACATGTGAAGGAGTGTTTTCCTGAAGTAGACACAGATGAGAGGGTGTTTTGCTGGGGCAGACACATCAAAGGACTCATGATGTTAAAAAGGACCCAACAGCCAGGGCTGTGGTGGCGCACGCCTTTAATCTCAGCACTTGGGAGGCAGAGGCAGGCGGATTTCTGAGTTCGAGGCCAGCTTGGTCTACAGAGTGAGTTCCAGGACAGCCAGGGCTACACAGAGAAACCCTGTCTCAAAAAACCAAAAAAAAAAAAAAAAAAAAAGACCCAACAGATGGTGGACCATGCTGGATGGTATTGGTATGCCTTACCATTCCCTAATTATCATCATTTGTCCTGACTCCATAGAGAGAAACACATAAAAAAAAAATTCTGGTGGTGTTCTGGTGGCTTCTCACCACTTCCACGGACTTGGGCCAATTGGCAGAGTGATGTCAGCTAATACAGACTAATCTGAAGTTTTGCTAAGACAGACTCACATGAAGAGGCAAGACCCATGGGAGGACATGTGATGTTTGGAAAGTGTAAATAGGACTCAACAGACTATGAGGGGCTTGCTTGCTTGAAGAGCCAGCTCTGCAATGCTTCTTGGTCTTGTGTCTTTGTCTTTACTGATCTTCACTTTGTTGAGAGAGACACAGCAGAGAACTTCTCCTGGTGTCCCTGCTGGTTCTGGTCACTCCAGCGTACTTGTGCTGATTCAGCAGAGGCCTGGCTGCTTCTGCAAAACTGTGCCACTACTGCTGATTCCTGTTTGCTATCCTGATACTACTGAACTGGACTGCTGGTATATATCCTGATAACACAAATTAGATTTGCTCCAAATAATTATTGCTAAACAAGTCCACTTCCCCCATATCCTAATAACATTTTTTCTCACTCCCTCTGCTGGGTGGTGGGCTAGAAGAGAGGTTTAAGTGTTTAAGAACTCTTATTAAAGTAGGTTTTGAAAAATCTAAGACTACAATAATCTGTGAGTCTCTGAGGTTTTTGAAGACCATCTATCTATTCATAGCATATCTGCACAAGCAAATATTGCCTGTCTCCTGGTACCTATTGTCTGTACAATCCAAGATGTATATTTCTGTGATAATCTAGACTAGTATCTAACATGGTCATGAGTTTGATTGACTGACTATTAATTTGTATTGCTTAATTATCCTAAAAAGTTTCTTAATAGCAGCTCTCTCTCTCTCTCTCTCTCTCCCTCACTCTCTCTCTCTCTCACTCTCTCTCTCTCTCTCTCTCTCTCTTTTTCTTTTTTTTCATTCTTTCTTTTTACTAGACAGGGTTTCTCTGTACATCCCTGGCTGTCCTGGAACTCACTCTGTAGACCAGGCTGGCCTTGAACTCAGAAATGCTCCTGCCTCTGCCTCCCAAGTACTGGGATTAAAGGCGTGTGCCAGCCTAATAGCAGCTATTAAAAGGACTGGGAATAAACCTTGTATTTCTATTTGTTTTTTTGTTTGGTTAGTTTTTTACTTTTTAAAGATTTATTAATTTTTATGTATATGAGTACACTGTCACTGTCTTCAAACACACCAAAAGAGGACATCAGATCCCATTACAGATGGTTGTGAGCCACCATGTGTTTGCTGGGAATTGAACTCAGGACCTCTGGAAGAGCAGCCTCTAAAAACTGTGTCATTTCTCTACCCCTAAACCTTGTATTTTTAAATGAGTTGCGTAGGTATATTACCTATACAAGAGTTAAAACACACACTCACACACACACACACACACACATATATATATAATGTTGCAACAAAATTAATTTTAAATTTTGTGTCAATATACAAAGAGTTATACCA